ACTGAAATGATTATGGAATTTCTGCTTAAAATATGATAGATCTGATTAATGAATGTTACAATATTGTATAAATAGTTTCAATTTTAAAATCTCGATTGCATATGTAATTCTTGTAGATAATTTAATTACATATATAGAGCCTATATTATGTTTAATAAGAATCATTATTCTTATGAAAATGTTTATAAATTGTTGTATATATTTTATTTACTTGTTAATGAATTTGTTAATAACTTAACTGTTAATAACTGTATTAAATATAGAAAATATTTTTATAATTTAGTTATATTATAGTTATATTACAGTTATATTATAGTTAATTAAGAAAGATAATAATATTATTTCATTATTTATTCATTAAAAGTGACTTAAAAGTGACGATTAAATGATATATTTATAACGATATATTTATGACGATAATATTTTGTGACTTTTGTGTATTGTGTGTAAGGTATAAGATATAATAGTCCTTTAATTAGAAATTAAAAATAAAAATGACAATAAGGGCGTTAGAAGTCAAGCGCAATAAATGAGGCGCAAATGATTATCCGTTGAATTCTATCTGTATTTTGGTTTTTCTTACATCCAGACGTTTCGATCCACTTTCGGATTATCTTTAGTAGATAAATATATCCATAATAAAAATGGCTTGACGCGTATTAATCCATGACCTCACAGATTCGCATCGATAAACGCAATAGTGCAATATCTCGAGAGCCTCTGTCCAAACAGTTCCACAGCTGATGTAGGAAACATTGTATGATCAATTTTATTTTGAACCATTTATGATATATTGAACCAAATAAAGGGGCTTTTAATGTGTCAAAAAGTTAGGAGAACAAGGAACTATTGGAGACTCACCTCGATGATATCGGTTATAACAATAAAAAGTACACGGATGAAAATAAATACTAAAATAATTGTTAAAAAAGTATGGTCCAAATGAAAAATAAAAAAAAAATTTTTTAAGAGAAATATATATATATATATATATAAATTTATAGATTTCTATAGATGGTATAACTTAATACTTTATTAGATGGAGCGGATTATTTTGTATTTCTAATGCAACTTTATATCTAAATGCATTCAAAATTATTCAAAGAATTAAATATAATTGCTTTATATATGTTTATACTTGATGTTATTTTTGTTTCGTCAAGTCTAATAATCCGACAAATATGATTTTATTACCATGTTTAATAAAAGAATGTTGTAATTCCGTAATCCGAAACGTCGGATAAATTTAAATTATTTAAAAATTTCATAGATTATTCTATTATTACATCTGACTAAAATATGAACACAATTCTATTATTGGTTTAAATTATTTAATTCTTTTGTGTCCTAATTCTTATGTAAAATCACATTTTGTAGTACTTATTTGCAAATTCGATTTCGAAGAAGTATTACTAGAAGAAGTATTACTAGAAATTATAGAAATAAATCAAATTCTTTACATATACCAATAAAACTTTATTAAATATTCAACTTTTGCAACTTTTAAACGAGTCATCTAAACTGCAGCGAAATATGCGCTGTATAAATTATATATTATAGATATACGAGGGTAGTCTGAAAAGTTTTGAGCCTTAACATAAAGATGATGTTACTCATCAAAACCATTCTAGTATTACAATAGTATATCCTTTGAAAGACTTTTGTGAAAATTTCAACCATTTTAGACGCTCAGTTGTTGTTTGACAGTTATTTGTGTCAGTCGATGTCAGTGTTTTTGTAAAAATGGAAAAAATTGAATATCGTGCCGTGATTAAATTCTTACATTTGAAAGGTAATACGCCTGCGCAAATTAAAATCGAGTTGGACGCTGTTTACGGGGACTCTGCCCCATCATTTGCCACTGTAAAAAGATGGGCAGCTGAATTTAAACGTGATCGTATCAGCTTGGCTGATGATGAGCGTTCGGAACGGCCAAAAACTGCGACCACCGCTGATAGCATCGAAAATGTTCACCAAGTGGTACTGGACGACCGTCGAATCAAGATTAGAGAGGCATATCGAAAGAACACATATCATATGTTGACTGAAGAATTGGATTGCGCAAGCTATCCGCGCGTTGGGTGCCGCGCTTGCTCACTTTGAACCAAAAACGAATCCGAATGAACACTTCCAAGGCCCTATTGGAGCGGTTCAAGCGAAACGAATCAGATTTTTTGCGTCGATTCATAACTGTAGATGAAACTTGGATCCACCAGAGACAAAAGAATAGTCAAAACAATGGACTGCAAAGGGTGAACCTGCTCCGAAAAAGGTGAAGACGATTCCATCAGCTGAGAAGATAATGGCAACTATTTTTTGGGATAGTCACGGAATTGTGTGTATCGACTATCCTGAAAAAGGTAAAACAATAACGGGAGCATATTACGCATCATTACTTGATAAGCTGAAGGCAGAAATTGCAAAAAAAAAAATGACCGCATTTGAAGAAGAAGAAAGTGCTGTTTCATCAAGACGACGCACCTGCTCGCACTTCGGCGGTGGCCAAAATTCACGAACTGCACTTCGAATTGGTTGACCACCCACCGTATTCATCAGATCTGGCCCCCCAGCGACTTTTTCCTGTTTTCTAAGCTTAAAGTTTCGCTTGGAGGACAGAGATTTTCATCGAACGAGGAGGTCATCGCATACGTAAACGCCTATTTTGCGGAGCAAGACGCCAACTACTATTTGGAGGGGTTAAAGAGGTTAGAATATCGATGGGAAAAGTGTATCGACTTAAAAGGAAATTATGTTGAAACATAAAATTATATTTGATCGAAAAAATACTTGTTTCTATGTTAGGCTCAAAACTTTTCAAACTACCCTCGTATATTATAAGCTAAATTATTCGTTGTTTCGAGTTTAAATTTGGTTTCAGGGCGTCTCAACGTTAAAATTTTTTGTCGTTAATTAGAAAGAAAAGAAATTTATAAGGAACTTGAAAGTTTTAAATTTTAATAATTTTTAGCTGACATTGTGACAGCCACGATATTTTTAAATTCACGCAAAAAAATAATAAACTTTCGTTTGATAGAAATACGCGTCATGCGAGTGACTTATACGTGATAAATACGATCCTGGGATCGAGTCTACTCTCACGAAACCGATAGTCCGTTTCTGGATACCCGCCAGAACACGTCAGCGCGTAACGTACGCCTTCACTTTCATTCGAAGGCCGACGCTGGACTTGAAAGACTGAAAAGAAACGAACTAAAAGCGTTTAAAATATAGGTATACGGCCAGCGGCAACCACTGGTGAGACAATCGATCCTGGTGGAACGTCCATTAACAGGTATAGTCGAGCTCGTTATAGGCGTGTTTGTCGATTCTCGGTTTCGTAGATGCCAAGAGACATGTCCTACTTATCGTATAATTTTGCACGTAACGATTCACAAGACATGATTGAAGTGTTGTGATTTCGAAGATTAAAATAGTGGTGTTCATTAAACTTTCAACGATTTGTTTTTGTAAAACGGTCAGTTTTGTGCGTTATTTCTGGAAATATGCTTGTACATTTATGCATTTATACATATCTTCACTTATATATTTTTATATTTATATATACATGAAAGTTGAAAAGTGAAATTAAACCACTGTTATTTTGTCATAAAACTGGATAGAACAAAAGCAATTTTTACCAACTCAGAAAACAGAAGGTTACTTTTATAAAACGGGTAGTATAAAAGAAATGCAGCCGAACTTAGCTAAAAGTAGATATTCCGAAAAATTTAACCTAATGCTTAATGGCGTATGCTTTCATATTTTCAGTAATACATATTTTCGATATAAGGTATTCGCATGAGATGAGGCATTTTTCTAAAAACATTTAGTACTTTTTTTGTACATTAATAAACGTGATATATATATATATATTTTTTTTTTTTTATTATTACAGTACAAGTACAAGTACACAGTTTAATATATATATATATTTTTTTTTTTATTACATATATATATATTTTATTTTATATTATATTATTTTTTATATTATACTTTTAAAAATGTTTCAATATAAATTTCTTTTATAGAAATTATTGACACTCGTATGAATAATTGTTCACATTTTTATGAGCGTATATAGATATAAATCTGAATATGTCCATCCATCCATCCATCTATCCATCCATCCATCTGTCACATTGTCTTGTGTTCCATCTGTCACTACTTGTGTTTAAATTCTCGATATTTTTTACGGTTATTTATTCGATGATATTTCAACACTTTATAAATATGTATCTATTTTAGATCGCGTATACATTAACAAGCATACGATATATTTTTCCGGATGATGTTTAAATTCTTCTGTTTATTTATCACGTTTATATTCGTTACAAAAAAAATGTTATTTATTAATTTTTAATTTCAAGTTTACATGTATTTAAAATATAACATGTATATATTTATACATATTTGTATATTTATATATTTAAAATGCGAAATAAATAAAAATAGACATATATAAGTTTGGAACAATTTAATTTATTAAATTTACATAATATACCGTTGGAAAAAATGTGTTGAATTTAACATAAATCGCATGTCCCAAACGGTCCGCTCAAAATTTTGTGTTAATTTAACATAATATGGATGTGTTAAATAGTAACACCGACACTATATGTTAATATTTCAACAAAAAAGAAATATACTCTTGATCTTAATTTGAAGTTAATTGTGTGTTACAATTAATATAATTTTTATGATAAAATAACATGTCGAGACGCGTCAAAATTCAAGACTGTGTCGAAACCATACAAAGAATAATAACAAGTCATCCCTACTGCTGTTATAGAGTAAAACCATTATATATTTTTTTGTGTAAATTTTAACATATTGAATAAATACGTACGAATTGTGTTATTTTAATAAATTTCTTAAATCATTTTAATAATTTTACATTTTATATTTATATTTTATATTTGTTAAGGTCAGTAGTAACATAGTAGACATGTGTTAAATTTACATATAAATATGTAGGTTATTTAACACAAAAATTTTAACAAGGAAGGACCGATTTTAACACAAATACAAAATGTTTTTTACTGTGTACTATTGAACTTGAGTTAAACTCAAAATATAAGATGTGCCGTAAGATTTTATAAAAAAAAATATATATGTGAAATAGAATTCTTATCTTTTATAATTTATAAATATTAGTAAAATATTGGTAAAAATTCTATATTTGAAATGTTTACACATCATAAAATTGATACAAGATAAAAATATTGCTGAGCTCCACTTTTGTTAAATCTTCTATTTTCTTTACCGCTCTTTCAAGGCAGAATTAGAAAGGAAATCTGTTTAACGCTATGAAACGATACGTTATCTATCTCTGTCATGCAACTTTTACTAGATATAAATTACCAAACCAAACCGAGTATAGTACTGATTAAAATTCACGAAGCTAGGTAAGAAAAAATGTCTCGTTTGTAAATATAAAGCCATAATTTGCAAAATAAAAATTTACTGAAATATATTTAAAAATATTTATAATTAATAATAATTAATAATAATTAATTTTAATAATAATTTTATATAAAATATTTATTGAAATGAAATTTAATGAAATTTATTGAAATATATTTAAAATATATATTTTAATATATTTAACATTTGAAAATTTAATGTTAATCCGTTAAACTCATTGTAGCATTTAACGAACGAATAATCTATACATTTATGTCACAGAGATCATTTATATTTCCTACTGGAATTATGAATTTTCGAAATATTTATTATCATCAGCATTGTCTATTATTATGGTGCACTTATTATGATGCACAATACACATATTTTTCATATAAAAAAATTACAAATTTTTCAGTTCAACATGAATACAATACACAAGGTTGTACAATGCTTGACAGGCGTGGTGTGGCTTACTTTGCAAATTTTTTATTATTTCTGCGAGAGCATATACCATAGCTTGTTCGGATTACAGGAAAACAGTGTGACCGATGAAATCGTTTTGGTACGTACGAAGAATATATGACGAATATATGTATTATAAAAATGTTACACTTAATAATATATAAGAGTAAGTAATATTAAAAGTTATCGAAAATAATCAATGTAAATAATCAATTCAAATATCTACAAAGAAATTAGACGAATATATAATAGTAAAAAAGTTTTTTTTGTTATGATTTCATTTATATGTTAAATTAAAAATTTTTATTTATATTTTTAATAATTTTTGATAGCAATAATAATTAAATAACAATTTGCAAATAAGATTTCATCATAATAGTTGTGTATTTATATCACGCGTATTATTTTTACAAGATAACAGGTGCAGGTCACGGTATAGGAAAGGAATTGGCGATTCAATACGCATGTTTGGGCGCGAAAGTGGTGTGCTTAGATGTGAATAAGCAAACAAATGAGGAAACAACACAGGAGATTAAAACACTTGGAAAAAGTTCCGTCTATGCTTATCAGTATGTTATCGTTATATAGTTTCTTCTAAT